TTAATTACCTATAATATATTAATAGCTTATATGAATTATTACTTAATTTTCACTAAACTGATATTTATGTAAAAAATTTACCTGCTCTTAGCAGTGAAGTAAGACCTAAAGTTCTTCTAAGTCTATTATAATTAAGCATTATTGTAAGACATATATATATATATATGATTATATATACACACACAGTATTCTAATATTTGTATGCACATTAGCCAATATATTCCAATTCATTTCTTCCTGTTTATCAAAAATGGCCTAACCAATTGAAGCATATCAAAACATTTCTAGAATACAAACATTATACAGAAAGAGGGAGATTTTCAAATTCTGGCAAATGAGCTATGCATTTCTAAATGATATTAGAATTATCAAATACATCTTTGAATGAAAAAGTTGCCTTAAATACATTATTTACAAGTCCATCATGGGTAGAAATTCAAGTAAATGTTGATGAATGCTTTAAGAGAAGTCTTAACTCTCAAGTCTTTCTCCATTTTTGTTGTTTCTAGACATTACAATGCTTTGCTTGGCACATGGAACATTGTTAATTTTCAATGTACAAACAAGTCATTGTTTGATACATTAGTGAAATACCAAATATTGCAAAACAAAATTATGTTAAAAAATATATCTACATAACTTCATTGAGTCGAGAGACAAGGCAAATTCAACACATTCTCCTAAGGGATATATATCCTGTAATGTCACAACCAAAACAAAACAAAATGAGAGCCAAAGAGAAATGTATACTTTTTTTTTCTATTGCAGTCCCTTACTTTTAAAGCTGATTCAGCTGATGTGCAAAGAGTTGAAGGTTTCGACTTCCTTTTGTGTTCCTATAATCTTAAAAAAATTGGCAAAAGGGAAAATACAATTTGTTGTGACTTAAAAATACAGAAATCGTTTGCTGGTAATAACCTAATAATATTTTTTGAGTTTCAGAAAGTACACATAGGGGCTTCCCTGGTGGCGCAGTGGTTAAGAATCCACCTGCCAATGCAGGGGACACGGATCCGAGCCCTGGTCCAGGAAGATCCCACATGCCGCGAAGCAGCTAAACTTGTGTGCCACAACTACTGAGCCTGCACTTTAGAGCCCGTGAGCCACAACTACTGAGCCCACGTGCCACAACTACTGAAGCCCATGCACCTAGAGCCCGTGTTCCACAACAAGAGAAGCCACCGCAATGAGAAGCCCATGCACCGCAACGAAGGGTAGCCCTCGCTCGCTGCAACTAGAGAAAGCCCGCACACAGCAACGAAGACCCAACACAGCCAAAAATAAATAAAATAAATTTAAAATATATAGATATTTAAAAAAGCACATATATTCCCTTATAAAAAATATCAACAGTATACAGTATGCTATTAACTCAGAAAAGCAATTAAAATGGTTCTTAGAAAAGTATTTCTCTATAAGAAGTTGAATATTTATTTTGCACTGTATCTTTGTTTCTAAATCTGACACTTTTGCCAGACATCTTTTAATAAACAACCTAAGACAACAACAAAAAATAAATCAGCTGTTTTTAGACTGTACAAATTCAGAATAAATAATTGATTAAGAAAAAAGAATACTATTTTGAGCTAATCCATGTTTCCACAAATTTCTAGGATCTGAGATTGGAAGACAGAAGTCTTAAGTGACAGTATTCCTACTTATAATCCATCGAAATGGATGGCAGAACAAGAACACTTACAAACTGATGAACATTCGAGTACAGAGCACCTTTAAGCTTTTTGAACCAGGAGCGCTTTTTGGAATTCCATCGACCCCAGCCACTATAGAGCAGAGCCTCTTTCACAGTAAGCCCCTTATATTCCACCGCAGCTTAAAGGAACTCACGCTTTCATGAGTAACTCAAATAATTATACAATCTTTAAATGATTTTAAACTAAAGGCATTATTTTAAGACTGCAAAAAAGTTTTAAATAGCATAATATATTTTACTCAAAAAATGGGTGAGGTGGTCAAAAGGTAAAAACTTCCAGTTATAAAATAAATAAGTCCTAGGGCTACATTGTACAGCATAGAGTTAATAAGAGAGTATTGCATATTTGAAAGTTAGAGAGTAGATCTTAAAAGTTCTCATTACAAGAAAAAACAATTGTAACTATATGTGGTGATGGATGTTAACTAGAATTATTGTGGTGATAATTTCAAATTGTTATGTTGTGTATCTGAAAATAATATGATGTTATATGTAAATTAGATTTCAATTTTTTTAAATGAGGGTAAAATGCTTCCTATGCAAAGATTCAAAGTTTCTGTGCATTTTCTATCTTCATATTTTCATTGAGTTAGGGGAGCATTATACAGTTAAAATAAGCGAAAGAAGTTGAATATTATACATCAATTGACACATTTTTCTGTTTACCAAATTCCTCATTCTGGTTTGTGTCTTCTTCACCCTTACCTAATTATCTAGCCTGGTGGCAAGATATTTCCATTCTTTTCCTCCCTTTCCCCAATATGCATAAGATAATTATATTTCCGAAATGATCTATATTTTATATTCTTTCTTTCCCTTGGTAATGAATAGATTTCAGATCTTTTATAACCATAGTGAGGTGAACACTGAAAAAGTTTTTTCTATTTTATAGAAATATGCGTCCAATAACACATTGTTATACTTACTTGTGTTATAATTAGTGGGAAGGATTCCTAAAAAATCACAATATGCTATTTCAATTTCTTTACAATAATATCTTAACAGTAATCACTTAGTGTTAATGAAAATAGAACATTTAAATTCAACCTTCAAAAGTTTATATTGTTCATATTTTACGAATATTAAACTGGAGTTTCAGGTGTTAAAAAATGAATTTCTCTTACAATATGAATTTCTCTTACAATTTCTCCAAAGACTTCAGACACATCTAATCCAAGGCTGCAGAGAAAGGAATTTAACTGCCAAGTCAAAATAAAATAATGCTCTAGACTACACTGTCCAATAAAGTAGCCACCCGCCACACGTGGCTATTGAAATAGAAATCAACATTAATTAAAATTAAGTCAAATAAAATCAAAATTAGTCTCTCCATGTACTGGTCAGATGTGAAGTACTCAATAGCCATAGTGACTATCGGTACTGGACAGTGCAAATAGAGAACATTTCCACAATCTCAGAAAGTTGATTGAGCAGTGTTTCCTAGACTTTTCTTCTCAAGGAGAAGTGTGAAGAGAAGTCACTGAACATGTAAGGGAAGGCTTAGGCTTAGGTTGGAGAAGGAACAACTAGGTAAGTCCTTAACCTTGAGGCATACATCAATGTATGATGAGAAAGTGCTTTCTCCTAAGAGGAAGCAATATTTGACATTATTCCACTGCATTGTATTGATATAGATTTATATCACATCAGCTGTCCCCTAGCCAAAGATCCACCATAAACAAATCAATCAAGAAAACAAAGAATTTCTGTCATAAGAGATATCCTCTTATTATTTATGGTCCTAAAAAATTAGGGAATAAAAAAGATGATGGTATAAACAGGCAAAATACATGGATAAATATTAAGAGTGTGATATATATATATAGTTATTAGTTATATACAGTTATATAGTTATTATTTTTATATAGTTACATAGTTACAGTGTTATATATATATATATATATATATATATATATATACACACACACACACACACACACACATATAGAGAGAGAGAGGGAGGGAGTTATTCCATCATCCTGGTGCTACACATTTTCCATTAAAACTTAAAATCTGAAGACCTACTAATATTTTAGAAGAAAAAAAGTAATTTATACCCACACCAGAAGAACTACATTCTTAAAAATTTCCCAAATAAATGTCATTTCTATTGCAATAGCTATTTTATTATGTAGTGAATAATATATGATTTTAAAATCACTGAAGATCAGTGTACTGCTTCTTCCTCGTAACTCATGCCAACAAGGACACCAACATCTTTTAGACGCATCTGAAGTAGGAACAAAAGCCCCCTTGCCTTTTTAAAGACTTTTTGCATGCTTAAAATTAGGGATTTCTAATATGACAACATAAGAACACAAACAGCAGCTAGAAATGCAGCAATCTTTTGTAACCAGTTTTTAACAGCAAGTGTCAGAGAAAGCAAGGAAAGATCTTTTTTTGTTCTCAACAGATGTAGGCACAAAAATACACAGCCAGAAAGCTCATTTAAACTTGCTAATTACAGGAATAATAAACTAATTTTGAATAAAACTGGACAATTTCCTTCTATTTGTAACCCTGAATTTTCATCCACAATTACCCAAGTAAGGTACATTTACTTGCATACATAATTTTATATTTACATACATAATTTTATATTTATAAAGACAAAAATCTACAAGGATAGTTTTAAAAGATCTCTGGATATATTAGACCTAAAGTGTTAACTGCTAAGTCTACTTTCTCTACACGTCCAGTTTTCTCTACTTTAACTGTTCTATCAAGAAGAGTAGGATGACTCAGGAATCTTCAATGGACCCAGGAATAAAAGATCACCATCTGTCCTTCCTTTACAGCTGAATAAAATAGCTCAAAATCGCAGCAAAAATCTTCTTACCCAGCAAAATCCCTATGGTAAAACTGTCCTTTTATAGCAATTGTTTTTGGCAAAAACTTTGTCTTTTAGTAAAATTAAAACATCCAAATTAATCTTTTGACCATTTTTAAACTCTTAATTCAGTCAGGAGAATAATGGCCCAAGAAACCAAAGCCAGAAGACATCACAGAAACCCAAACTACATTGATAGAACTCATTTTAAGTTCAGACAGCAAAACATGGGCAAACCTGGATTTTATAACCAGTATTTGCAGTTTTAAACCAAGTATTGATACTTGAATCTAAAGATAATGAAGCGGATAATATAACCTGAGTGCACAGAAAAATAGTCTCCATGGAAACAGATAAAAAATTAACACAAGAATAAGTTGTTTTAACAAATTCTCATTCAGGTTTTTGTTAATGTTTTGTTTTGTTTATTTGTTTGTTTGCTCAATTTGAAAGCCTTACCATCCTGCTGGCCGTGAAGAGCCTGGGGACTTTGCATCCTTTCCTCAAGATTGGAGCTAAGGTCAGAGTTCACAGCTGACATCCGTGTTGAATCACTCATATCAAATTCGTCACTTTCTATTGAACTTTCATCCTGAAAATTGTTTTAAAATATCATCAAGTATCATAAAATATAATACATTCAGATAATGACCATTTTATCTATAGGGTCAATTAAAGTTTAGCCAGTTAGAAAGCTTTTACAGAACTCAGTAAAATGTTACACATGAATAGATTCTTGAAATAACAAATAAGAAATTTGAAAACGTGTGAAGATTCAATGTTCTATGTAAACGATGTAAAACATAAAATAATGTATTTAGGAAGGACGTAGTTGAGGAATTATCTGAATAGTGAAAGAATGGATTTTTTTTAATTAGTAAAAAACTTCCTAAAAGAGTCAATCACAAAACATAGCATAAAAAGAAATACATGTTTTAATTTTTTAAATAAATGACAATAAAATATTATAAGCAAAAATCTGACACTGTAATAAAAAATCTAGAACTAAAAATTTTTCGTTGGTAAACTAAATGGAATCTAAAAACAGACAAACTTACATGGCTAGATTCAAAGTCCACATTTGCTGGAAAACAAGTTAATCTTAGCACAACCTTTCTTTCTTTACAAGGGAATATAAATGGCATTGCAACCACAAAAAGTTCAAGGTAAAAGTGTGCAAGATCCATTTACCAAAAGCCAGATCAGCAAATGGCTAAACTACCAAAAGGCAAGTTTGCCAAACGGTCAATTCATCAAAATCTGTCAAATATTAACTTAAACCAAATCTATGCTATGTTGCTATAGTCATTTCCTTGAAGCAAACTCTTTTTTGCTTTGGAGAACTGATTTTTGGACAAATGCTGTGCTTATGTAGGCAGGAAGGCCTTAGAAACCTGTGTAAAATATCATAAATGTTTAATTGAAACCACCAGGTTTAACTTCAATTTGTAAACATTTGATCTGAAAGTCTAACATTAATGTAATGATTACCAGTAGCAGTAGCAAATTTATATTTGCTTACATACTTCATCTTCATCACAGCCTGTGAGTTAGGTGCCAGCATTTACCCAATTTTACAGATTGAGAAATTGAGGCACAGAGCTGTTAAGTAATTTATTATACTATTATATACCAGAACTGGGATTCATTATGATGTCTCCCAAACTTAAGAAAAGAGCTTCTTTGAATAGGAAGAGTTCCCCTGGCTTCATAAATGACATCTTGGCATCAGCAAAGTTGCTATAGTTAAGGTACAGGAGCATTCTAGCAGACTTACAATGGGCATTCTGATCCCTAGGTCAGGCCCAGGTGATTTGGGTGTTCTTCCCTTACCTACGGTCTGATTGTGTCTGGGTCTACTGAGTAGCACTAGCTCTTCATTAATTCAGCGAGGAAATGCCACCCTGGGAGGCCTCTGGGCAATCAGCCACACAGACTTCTCCCAGCCACGTGCCCTCTCGGTACATTATGTTATCTCCAATTCTAAATTCTAAGAAAATCCAAAGCATCTAAATATTAAATACATATGTTCAAAAGAGAAGAAAAATAACAGAATTCAGTGTACACATCCATGTTATCAATGTGTACCATATACATATATGTACATATATACACACACATAGCTAGATGATATAGATATCCATTATATACACTCTATATAGTGTCTGTAATATCACAGTGTTTTAGAGCACATTCTCTGGAACCAGACTGCCTGGATTCAGATTTATACTCTGCCACCTATTAGATGTGTCTCCTTAAGCAAATTACCTAACATTTCTGTGCCTCAGTTTCCTCACCTATAAAATGGGAGAAATAATAGTATCAATCTCATAGGGCTACATAATGATTGAGGGGCTATAATATATCTAAAGTAGTTAAAACAATGTCAGATCCATAATAAGCACAAAACTGTTTGATATTGTTATATAGAATATGTAACAAATTCTACAGTATGTAAGATTCATATTTATTATATGAACACATACAAAAATAAATGTAATGGTAAAGATGATCAATATGTGTTTATAAAGTAGCTGTGGATACTATATGAACATAGTCTTTATAAAAGCATTTATTATATACCCTACAAAGAGCTAACTAGATGTAATCTAGTAAAATACTGTTTCCATGGTATGTGTATGTGTGTGTACGTACACACACAACCATCTGAGATATATGAGGTATATGTATATATATATGTGTGTCTATGTGTGTGAGGCTATGTGTGTGTATGTTTAAGAAGATCTAGACACAAAGATTGAGGCTGCAGTCTCTGTTCTATAGAATGGTTAATACAAACTGCACACTATGGCTAATCAATGTAGCTAGTGTGACTAAAGAACTGACAATTTAATTTTAGTTAATTTGAATTAATTTTTATTAAATTTAAATATCCCTGTATGTCTAGTGGCTACCATGTTGGATAGTGCAGATTCAACATTCCTCACTGTTGGATATTTCCAACCATCACTGTTAGCAATACAATAAACATCCTAACATTTAAATTGTTTTGTGCAACAAATTCCTTAGTATAAATTTTTAGTCAAAGCATATAAATAACTTTTTAAAGTTTTAAAATAATTATTGCCAAACTCTCCCCCAGAAAGTCTGTTATGGTTTAAACTCTCATCAACAGTTTGGAGGAAGGTCAATTGACCTTACTTTGGATACAGTATTTTGTAATTTTAAAGGGATTCCCATTCCTGGCCTTCTTTATCTCTCTGAATAGCATTTAGTATTGTCCTATATAAATATTTTCATTATTTACTTCCTTTATTGTCTGTTCTCCCACCACCACTAGAAGATAAGCTTAATAAAGGCAAGAATTTTGTCAATTTATTCACTGTTTATCTCCATTACCTATAAGAGTGACAGTTACAGAGAAGGTACTCAATAAATATTGATTGAAGTAATTGAATAAACATTTATTAAAATTTAACTCATCACAAAGGAATATCTTACTTGATTTCCATTTTAACATGACTTATGTTACTTAACCACCTTCCTTTCTTTCAATAATCACAATTTCAAAAATTTCGTAAATAATCTAACTCATCATTTATATGAATAGTTTTAAGACAGTGTACACCCAAGTTAGCATTTTTGAAATGTAAAGATAAGAGTTATTTTCCTAACCCAGTTATAATTTAAGAGGATCTGTCTCTCTTATGTGAAACACTTAGGATTTTTTAGAAGCCAGAAGGATTTAGCATATGTGGACCCTACTGCTGGCACAAAGTTAATCTTACTTTTTGGCCTAGAAATAAACAGATCAATATCTACATGAGTTTCCTACAAATAATTTGACAGCTCTAACTAGTTTATGAGTTTCTAAAAAAGATTTTCAATTATGTGATGACTCATGGGAATAATATTTTTATTCTCAGGGATGGATAAACAGTAATATTTTCTTAATTATCTTTCCTGTCTTTGAATGATTTTATTACTAGTTATTCAATCATTTATATACAGCTATCTAATAATATGGAATCTGATACTGCCACTGCACTAATACAGATATTCTTACAGAGTGTACTTTTCATAAAATCTTGAGATAAAACAATTTTATAAACATAGTTTTGAGATTAAACCTGCTCACATAAAGAGGAAAATCAACAATTTGATTTCTGGGCTTCTCTGGTGGCACAGTGGTTGAGAGTCCGCCTGCCAACGCAGGGGACACGGGTTCGTGCCCTGGTCCAGGAAGATCCCACATGCCGCAGAGGCAGCTGGGCCCGTGAGCCATGGCCGCTAAGCCTGCGCGTCCAGAGCCTGTGCTCCACAGCGGGAGAGGCCTCAGCGGTGAGACACCCGTGTACCGCAAAAAAAAAAAAAAAAAAAAAAAAAAATTGATTTGTGTTTTATGAACAAAGTTAACAAAGTAATTGTAAAAGAATTTAATCTTTGATAAAGGAGGCAGGAATATACAGTGGAGAAAGGACAGCCTCTTCAATAAGTGGTGCTGGGAAAACTGGACAGGTACATGTAAAAGTATGAGATTAGATCACTCCCTAATACCATACACAAAAATAAGCTCAAAATGGATTAAAGACCTAAATGTAAGGCCAGACACTATCAAACTCTTAGAGGAAAACATAGGCAGAACACTCTATGACATAAATCACAGCAAGATCCTTTTTTGACCCACCTCCTAGAGAAATGGAAATAAAAACAAAAATAAACAAATGGGACCTAATGAAACTTCAAAGCTTTTGCACAGCAAAGGAAACCATAAACAAGACCAAAAGACAACCCTCAGAATGGGAGAAAATATTTGCAAATGAAGCAACTGACAAAGGATTAATTTCCAAAATTTACAAGCAGCTCATGCAGCTCAATAACAAAAAAACAAACAACCCAATCCAAAAATGGGCAGAAGACCTAAATAGACATTTCTCCAAAGAAGATATACAGACTGCCAACAAACACACGAAAGAATGCTCAACATCATTAATCATTAGGGAAATGCAAATCAAAACTACAATGAGATATCATCTCACACCAGTCAGAATGGCCATCATCAAAAAATCTAGAAACAATAAATGCTGGAGAGGGTGTGGAGAAAAGGGAACCCTCTTGCACTGTTGGTGGGAATGTAAATTGATACAGCCACTATGGAGAACAGGATGGAGGTTCCTTAAAAAACTAAAAAGAGAACTACGATATGACCCAGCAATCCCACTACTGGGCATATACCCTGAGAAAACCATAATTCAAAAAGAGTCATGTACCAAAATGTTCATTGCAGCTCTATTTACAATAGCCCGGAGATGGAAACAACCTAAGTGTCCATCATCGGATGAATGGATAAAGAAGATGTGGCACATATATACAATGGAATATTACTCAGCCATAAAAAGAAATGACATTGAGCTATTTGTAATGAGGTGGATAGACCTAGAGTCTGTCATACAGAGTGAAGTAAGTCTGAAAGAGAAAGACAAATACCATATGCTAACATATATATGGAATTTAAGAAAAAAATGTCATGAAGAACCTAGGAGTAAGACAGGAATAAAGACACAGACCTACTAGAGAATGGACTTGAGGATATGGGGAGGGGGAAGGGTAAGCTGTGACAAAGCGAGAAAGAGGCATGAACATATATACACTACCAAATGTAAGGTAAATAGCTAGTGGGAAGCAGCTGCATAGCACAGGGAGATCAGCTCGGTGCTTTGTGATCGCCTGGAGGGGTGGGATAGGGAGGGTGGGAGGGAGGGAGACGCAAGAGGGAAGAGATATGGAAACATATGTATATGTATAACTGATTCACTTTGTTATAAAGCAGAAACTATCACATCATTGTAAAGTAATTATACTCCAATAAAGATGTAAAAAAAAGAATTTAAATATATCTCACCAAATAATGCTGTATTTAAAAATAAATACTTAACCGCATTTCCTGTTCTATAGAAATTTCAGAAAGGAGAGAATGTATTAGCCTGAGAAACTATCCCTAATATAGTTACTCTGAATGTGTTTATTAATTAATGGCTACTAACTAGTTAACAAGGATTTACTAAGCCCATACTGTTATAAGTGTTTTGTGGAATATACACAGGGTATATATATATAACTTAGCCCCTGCCTTTGAGATACTTCAACCAAACTGGTGAGTTAATTAATATTTTAGGGAAGAATATTTAACAAATATGCATTTAGTATCTAATATACACCAACAAGCACATTGCTAGACTCTTACTATACAAATTAAATAATTTGAAACATCAAAAAAATCTCTAGTTAAGAAGAATCACCACAAATTGTAGAAAATGCAGAGAAGTAGACAAACAAATACTTAGGATAATGATTAACTGAAAAACAACTTTAAAACATACACAAGATTTGGATGGTGGGGAAATGGTTATATTTGAAATACCTATGAAATTGAACTTTCTGATTTCCAGGTAAAATAGCCTTAGTACTAAAACTTCCCTAGATACAGACTTATTTGGAATACTCTCCCCTGAACTTTCTAGCACTTTACCTAGGTTTAGCTCGATGGTGGGCTACTAAGGAAAATGAATGTTTCTGGGGAATGAGCAAATTCCCACACAGCACTAAGGCAGAAGTGGTAAGATAGGGTATCTCTGTTGAGCACTAGAAATTTCTGCATATTTCTCTATCTGTGCAGTCCTAGTGACACTCTTTTCATTAAAAACAAATAAATTACCATCTTCAAAGTGCCATCCTGCTTAACACAACAGTCATGGTCATCAAACCTCATTCTGACTCGTGATATAAGTGTACATGTTTCCATTTTACCTCGTCTTGCTGTGAGTTTAGCAGCTGCAGTTTCATGTGCTTCATGTAGGCCATGGTAATTGGCATGTTGTAGTCAATCATGCTGGTCACCAAAGTGGGAGGTTTTCCATTATCTGGAATAAAACATTTTTAATGGGTAATGAAAGTGATACTGTATTCTACCTGTAATTTCAGAATGATCCAATTTGTTCAAATTGAAATAAGATTCTAGATACCAAGTGTTTAGGAGATTGGTAGCATTAGAGATGGATTGTAGAAAAAATAAATAACTGGTAAGATTCAACAAAGGTGTTTTGGGACAAATTAGCACTATGGATAAATCTGTTATTTCTAACTACAAGGGGAGATTTTTGATATCCTGGATAACAATGAGTGACACTAATAGAGTGATTAAACAAAATTATTGGTATTTTTGTATTTTTCTCCTTTGCTGCACACTTACTTTTCTTTTCTTTGGTTGTACCGTGTGGCATGAGGGATCTTAGTTCCCTGACCAGGGATCAAACCCGTGCCCCCTGCAGTGAGTCTTAACCACTGGACTGTCAGGGAAGTCCCCAAATTTGCTTTCTACATGGACTACTTGACCACAAGAGGAAATTTACTTTTTATTTTTTGCTGTTCCACCCATTCTCCAACACAAGGGAATAGGCTAGCCTAAATGTATCTTTGAGATTAATCTTTGAGAGAAACTCATACATTAGGAAAATAATCCAAATAATTTTTAATGAAAGCCAAAGCCAAACTATAACTTTTCTGTAAAAATTTTCGGTGAAAGAACTCCATACTATTCATTACTTTTAGAAATAAGAAATTGGTAGATTTAAAAGAACACAGATGGAACATCAATTTCCTTGTTGAAAATATCTAAAATACCATGAAATACACACAATAAATGAAAATTAAATATTATTATAGGAAAAAAGTTATTTGCTACAGTCAAAACTGCTTTTCTTCTGAGAAAGGACACTGAGTTGCTTTGTAGTGAATCTTCAACATTCACTGTCTCCTGCTTGAATACATGAGACGATCTGACTCGTTAAACTGTTTCTGTCTACCACATTCTTATAAAAATGTGGGGTATAAATTGCCATTATGAATAAAATTACTTGAAATCTCACTATTTGACACTGCGGCTACCTTTATGATCTGTTCCATCTGGGTTTAAATGCATTCTTTTCTGGCACTCTGAGCAGCTCATTAGAAACCGTGTCACCGCTTCTCTTGGTAGGAAGGCATAGCTCTCTGAAATCTGAAATGATTCACAAAATAGAGGTGTTATTATATAAGCTGACTGGGCATGATTCAACAGAAGTGATCATTGTATTTCCAAATAAGACGCATTATTCCATAATGGCAGGAAGCACAATGAAAGCATGCACTGCATATCATGCATCATTTCAAGAAATATCTATCCAACTTGATTGCATGTCTCTTAATAATTGCTAATAATGCAATGTGGAGGAAAAAAATCAACCACATCTGGATGGAGAACTGTTTATATTTCTGCATTTCTTTTAGGAAAAATAATCCCAGTGTACAGATACTCTCGTGAATTTTCCTTATTAAAATTTGTCCACGATTGTTTTGGCAATTAAACTTATTGCTAGCACCATTAAAATTTTATCCAATTTTACATATATTTTTAAAAATTTAGCCCCAAGGTGAAACAGTAAACTTTGGATTTTGCAGTAATAAGCATTTCTTCATTATTGCTTTTCAAAGTACTTTAAGGAAAGATAAAAAATAATCTGAACAGAACTCATGTATCTATTTACTGCAGTGAATCATCCCTTCCACAGAAAATGACACACTTGGAATGCATTCTGGCCACCTATTTCAGTTGCTATTTTATGTCAGTTTTTCATAATTTATGTCCACAATAGTTCACATTGATTGTCAGAGCCAGCTTTTCCAGTGCCCTATACAGAGCTTCTCTTTTCAGAACCATGATCCAGAATCAAGTTAGAAATCAATACTCCTGTCAGTGATTCTTTAAATATTACCTTTTCAAAAACCAAGGTATTTCTCTCAAGAAAGCAAAGATTTCTAAAGTGAAACTGACAGATTGTTAAACATCTCTAAATAAAAGCTGACGGTGCCGCTAAGAAGTCTGATGCAGGGCATTAGTTTTCCACCATACTGTCACTGACACTGGTCCATGAAATATGAGGTAAGCAAAAGGAATAAACGAGTTGTAAATCAGACATAATTGCCATAGACGATTCCTCAGGTGCATGCAGAGCTGTTATGAACGTTGATGTATTTTAAGCTTGTAGAAGGAAGGAAAATATGCACCTTGCATATAATTGAGTGCAAATCTGCGCCAATTCCATTAATGGTGATGGGGTTAACTTTTGCTGGAGCACAGCATCGAGGAAACCTCACATATTAAAATCCAAAATTGTAAAGCATATTTTTCCCTGATTTTCATGTGGAAATCAGTTCACATTGCTTAGCCTATCTCTTTGACTCTCAGGGAAAAGAAGCCGTAAGAATGTCAAAGAGAAGGAACAAGTCTACAATTAAAAATCTGCCATGGATGATTCGTACACAGGTAATCCACAGTCGACTCTACTGGGATTGGAATATGAAACTGATGTTTAATATAACTATCATTTGTAAATTAAGGTGTTGTCCAGTTTAAAAAAAAACAAACGTCCTTGTACTATACAAGGAATTGCGGGAGAAAAGAAGCAGAGCAATTTGAAAGTATTTCATCAAAATATTTTATATAAGCTATTGAATAAAGAAATACATAAATGCAATATAAATGTTCATTCATTCTCGGTCACTCTCTTTGTCTCTTCACACAGGCACACACACACACACACACACAAATTTGATTCCTATTCATCTATTTTTACAGAGGGAACTAACACTTTAATCTGATTCATTTATCTGATTAGAGATCATTTTTTCCGACTCTCTGAAAACCTTTTTTACAATTATTCAGAAGTTAAGTCTCTGATTCTTGCCCAGTCTGATACTTCGTATTTTAACTCACATGGAATTATAATCCTTGGGAACTAATAGAGCTGACCAGTAAATTCATTAACAAACAGGATTTGAGAAGAATGCTCCATTGATTTTCATAGAGGATTTCTATTAAGGCTCTTCTCTCCTTAAATAAAAGAGAAACCTTCAATTGAAAAAAAAATGGCCAACTGGTGGAGTTAAAGAGATGCTGCATTTGCTTCGACAGTCCTGATGCTCTCCACAATCTGCTCTTTTCTCAGTGCTAATAAAGCACTTATGTAGAAATCCCTTCTAGAGAGCTTTATCATTGACCTGACTCAATTGTATTATTTGTCCTAGCACTACTTAGCTCCAAATCAATTTTTTCTTGGAATCATTAATCATATTATATTTCCTTTACACTTTTACTCTGAAAAACAGGTACTTGTATTGACCACAAATATAAGTGGATAAATATGCTATGTGTACATGTGTGAATGAAATATATAAAGTCCCACCTTGTATCTTAGAAAAGATTTTTCAGTAAGTATTATATCACATTGTTCTCTGTGGTGTTATTCTGGGCACTATATGTTATATAAGTGGATAAAATCCCTTATTTGGGGGTACTTTCTTGGTGTTCAGAACCCACTTATAGGGAGACCTGCTGAGATACCCCACTCTCATCAGATCTTTTCTATCCCACCTCATGTTCATTGGGGCCCAAGGATCTCAGAGTATTCCTAGGCACAGGGAGAAGAGACCCTCAGAAAGTCTTACACTCATTTCTGAAACAATAGTTTTCCTGCCATGGAGGTGAAGAGGGAAAATGATTCCTTTTTCTTTATCTAGGCTCTTTCCTCTGCAGCCTCTTTGAAATTAAGGGTCCTGGGCAATCTTCACTGCTGAAGTTCTCAGAACATTTTTAAACAATAAGATGTCCTTTAAAAGTTCTAAAATTATGGTGCATTTGAATAATTGCATTTCACAATTAAAGCCCATAATGAAATACTGTGGTGGTCCTGTCAATATCTTTCCATGACCCCATTCAGAGATTATACAGAAAGCCTACATGAAGACTCTTGAACTTGAGGCCTGAGCTAAATGCTCCTATGGCTCTTGTTCTAATGAAAGGGTCTGTTTCTGTGAGTGTTTGAAATGCTAAATCAACTTTAAATAGATGTTCATAAACGGTGATAAAATCAGGGACGTGTTCTTCTAGGCTGTCTATTCATCAAAGTCCTAACATTCTTCATACAACATGTAAAAGCAGGTGCAAATAAAATATAGAAGGGACAGAAATTGCAAAACATTTTGATTCAGATACTTGAAACACCGTTCTACTAACACTATAATTAATGATATAAAATGCTATAGTCATTCATAAATGTCTATTTCCTTGACCCACTTTTCAAATCTAAACACTTATTTGTTTCTAAGACAGAAATCGGCCTTTGAATATACAGTACAGAACATTTCTAGAACACTAGTGAGGATAATATTCACTTGAAAAATGCATTCTTAGAAACATCTTTATATTTGGGAAAGATAGAGAGTATTTCCTTAGAATTGGTTTATCAACACAGAAATGCTGCATCTTGTGAGTAATACGAAACAAAACATCACATGAATGGATATTAGTCTCGCTCCTTCTGAATTAAACACTAAAACAAACAAACAAAAAACAACTGCCATGGGACAAGCCACATATATTGCCTGTAACAGAAATAAACATCCAAAGGAAGGACTAGAACATAGCCATATTGAATCTTATAAACCAACGATCTCACATTATTTATCATGTAAATAATTGTGAGGCATCCCTTCCCTAGAAATGTTATTTTCTAGGAATCCAGACTTGTTTTCTTAGAGTTATATAATAGTTTTCATCGGGGCTTGCATCCATTATTTTAGACAGTGGCTAAAATAGATTTTACAGTAATTTTTCGACAATGGGATCCACTGGTATAAAGAGGTTAAATGAATCGCCATTGTTACACAATAGAGGGCAAAGCAAAGAGCTGGAAACTGAACCTGGAACTCTCAAATCCTGGTCTGTTTCCATACATTGAAGGGACCACGGTGGGTTCATCCAACAGACAGATTAGACAAATGCGTAGGATCCAAGGAAAGCAGGAACATCAAAATAGATTTTTTAAAACTTTGGTATTTCAAAAAAAAAAAAAACCCAAAATATCAAAGGTTACCAAAGTCAGGAACTTTGGGAACTTCTTCTTTTTCTGCTATCACTGTTATTTTTTATTATAATACGTATTATAGCTACAAAGCTCTATATGATACACATATTAAGTTTTAAAATTAATTTATTTTTTCTATTCTTTTCCAAATTCTTTTCCCATTTAGGTTATTTCAGAATATTGAGCAGAGTTCCCTGTGTTATACAGTAGGTCCTTGTTGGTTATCTATTTTAAATATTCCTTAAACTTGAGTTGTGGCTGAAGATTTGTTGTTGTTGCTATTTTTTAACTTTGAATTAGCTATGGTTGAGGGGTGGAAATGCTGTAGCACAACACAATATTTTCACTGCTTATCATTTCTAAAGACCTTAATTCAACTGTGTATTAGACAACATTGATACTGTTTTCAATGAAAATATTACATTCTAAGTCTGTTAAGACTGGAATTCATCAGTAATGCAGAAATAATAAATTGCATTATCATCCTAAATTAGAAGTAGAAATCACCTCTCCAATTAAATAATATGGTAATACTTCTTCATAAAAATAATTGAACTGCAGCATCTTTTGATGGACTAAGTCAAATCAGCATCTAGAGCAAAGATAGTATGATGTTAGTGATCTAATGATAAACCTATGCACCTGAAGAGGGTATCATGATTAAATCCCATAAGGAGCACTGCTATTGATCTTGCACTTGTAGGTTAAAATAAAAAATTTAAAAACTAATGGGAATATATTTCTGAAAAGTTTACTGACAAATATTATAGTTGAAAGGACGATGAGCATTTTTACTTTGCCACGTCCCTGTCATCTGAAGGAAGAAGGAACAGTACCTTTTTAAACACTACGTTTATAAAACCAAATTCTGGCAGTTCTCAAGTGCCACTCACCTTCCCCTCAACAGCTTGGTTAAGGTAAAACTGTAACTTATTCAAAAGAACTGATATTTTAAAAATCAATCGCAGTCAAGTTAGTTTGCAAATCTCATCTTATAAATTTGATAATATATATAATTCCTAAAGTTTTCTTACATTTACTTTTGAATAGCACAGTTTTATCTCCAGAAATGTCTCCTTTCTTACTTAGATCTGAA